TGTATAGTCCAGAAACTTCAATAGATAGGAGCTGGGATTGACTGAACAGGCTCCATTATAGCCAAAACGTTTGTTCTGGGTAGGGTTTTTAATATTCAGAATTTCTTTATTGTCTAGTGAAGGCCACAAAAACATTTGGGTTATACAGCTACAGGGGATTGGGTCACTGGCAAACAAAAAAAAAGTTGTAAGCTGACTCCAGTATAACTCTTTAACCCATCATGCCTCCATTTTTTTGCTAGTGTCCTTGGAGGTTGGACACCTTATCTTCAGCTCTGTTGAAAAAAGTAATTTATTTTTGCTAGCTTTTCATCAATGTCTTCAATCAAGATTCCCAGCTACACCACTGCTTGAGCTGATCTCGATATAGCAGCTTATCTGGATTGGCATTTCTTCAGCATTTGCTTTGGAGACCGTATTCAGCACCCACTGGACCAGAAACGTAGGGCTAGCCTGGATGTGATGTTAGGGTACTGTATTAGTTGGCTGTGGAACAGTTTCCCCAGTCAGGACCATGTCTCTGAAGACTCATTTTGTAAGACTGGTCAGGCTGAAGCAACATGAGATAACTCATTATTTTTCCTGTTGGGTACTGCTTTAAATTTTCCCTCCACAACTGTTATACCACAGTAGAGGTTAAGGCTAAGATATTGAGTGCCAACTATATCCTGGGGGCTGGAGCACTCCATGCTCTTCTTGCTGGTGATTCAGCCTACAGCAGGGGTGCTCAACCTTTCGAAGAGCAAGGCCACTTAAGTGGTTTGGTAATGAGTTGTGGGCCACAATGAAATGGTTCATTTTTAATAGCATAATGGACATTTTCCTCCTGCAGCCACAGAATGCCAGGGAGAGGAGGAGCAGCTGGATTTCAGGTTGCAAGAGGAAAATGGAGAGGATCTGTTCTTGTATATACTGCCCCTCCTGTCCAAGTGTGAAACAGAATGTGACAGGGAGGCTGCACAGGCCCCCTGGAGCATGGGGCTGGGATGTGTCCCCTGATGCTACACCAGTGGTATGTGTTTAAAAACATGTCCCAACTCAGGGGTTTTACCACCCCACCAAACCACAAATATAAATGAGCCATTACTGTCCTGAGCACCCTATAAGGCTGCTTTCACACTGCTGTGCTTTCTTCGCAGGTGCAGCTTAGCTGCACTTTGCTATAGACCTCTATTATATTTTGCAGGTGTGAAGTGCACCAAAACACCTGCAGTCAGGCGTTTGGTGCTTTTTTTAGAAAGCACACCAAACCTGCAGGATATAATAGAAGTCTATGGCTCAGTGCCATTAACTCGCAGGAAAATCACAGGTGCACTGCACTGCATCCATGGATCAGTGTGAAAGTTGCCAGGCTGCTAGAAAGGTTCCAAAGCAAAGTGCACTTGGTATCACTTCACCTGGGGCAGGAGTTGGCGCTTTGGAGGAAGCATTGGGTTGTGCAGCTCCTGCTTCCTTCGCTGCCGGCTCGATGCACTCTGTGATCTAGGCTTGCCGACCTGCATCCCAGAGCATCAATCAACAGGTTGCTGATCCCAGGCATGCGCTTCCCTGGTTGGAAGGCAACATGTTGAGCACCAATGGCCTAGAGGAAACATCATCCTCCTTCCAAAGCACCACTTGCATCTCCAGTCTTTTTCCACTGCTTGCCTACTGCATCTTGGATAAATCTGGCCCCCTGAAACCCTCCTCAGCAGCAGCTGCTTAGGGTTGTGAGTACTTCATACCTTGTCTTATATTAGGCCAGTTGAATTACTACTGTAGGGACACTAAGGGGTTTATTTACTAAAGCTGGAGAGTCCAAAATCAGACTCCCTTCTGCATAGAAACCAATCAGCTTCTAACCTCAGCTTGTTCAATGAAGCTTTGGCAATGAAACCTGGAAGCTGATTGGTTTCTATGCAGAAGGGAGTCTGATTTTGGACTCTCCAGCTTTAGTAATAAACCCCCCATATGTCTTTGCTAAAGCAGAGAGAGGACAGTTCCGCTGTCATGGGTGACTTCAGCCCATAGTTCCCTAGTGGTTCTGTAAGTATCTATCCAGTAGACCCAGAAAAAAAAAAATTACACCTATAATACTGAACCTGGGACACCTATTATCATACGTTCTAATTCAGCCCTGTTAGGCAGTTCCAAGGCCTTCCCCATGTACCCTCCTGACTCCCTGTGCTCAGATACATTGGCATTCTGTACTCAGAGGCTCTAAGAGAACGTCAACACAAGCCCCTGCAGATTCTGTCTTTGACCCTCCTGAGTTCTTAAAGTGGTTTTAAAGACTGGAGGGTTTTTTTTTTTACCTTAATGCATTCTTTGCATTAGGGTAAAAAAACTTTCTATTGTCAATCCCCCCCCCCCCAAATACCTACCAAATCTCAATCTGGCACTGCTTTCTCTCTCTTTTCCTCATTGGAGTGAGAATAGTGGGAGCCATTGGCTCTGATTGCTGTCAACCAAATCCAGTGAGGGCATGGGGGTGGAGCCAAGCTGCACTGCGTGTGCCAAAGAACACAGTGCAGCTCGGGATCTAGCCTGCACATGTGCCACCATAAGAAGCAGATTCCTATGGGGGCACGTGGAGGAGCCCAGAAGGGGAGGATCGGTGCTGTTCTGTGCAAAACCATTGTTAAGTTGTCTCCTTAAACCCCTTGTTCACTAAGAGCTATCAGATAAACGTGATCCAGGTGTCTCTAGCACCCCCTGATGATTTTATGGGGCACGAAAGGGTTGTCCCCCCATCCTGCTGACACCCACAGCTGGTCCAAGGCACTCATTTCATTTTAGTGTATTTTTTCCTGAAAATATGCCTTTGATAAATAGCTGCGCAAATATCTTACGACAAAAAAAAAATTTTTTAACTACCCTCATTTTATTCTTTGCATTTCAAAGAATAGCGTGCGTTTCCTATCCAAATCGAATGTGGTTTCTCCACTGCTCTTGCGTGAACCCAGGCTTGTCATAGCCTGAGTTCACACAGGAGAGGTGTTGGAAACCTCCCTGTACCGATTCCATACTGAACGGAGAGCGGGAGAGAAGGGCATATGGGGATGTACACCTTGGTGTCAGCCATTAGGGGATGTACACGTTGGTGTCAGCCATTAGGGGATGTACACCTTGGTGTCAGCCATTAGGGGATGTACACGTTGGTGTCGGCCATTAGCGGATGTAGACCAATGCTCTTGATTATCAGGAGGAGGTTTGAAATCCCAGAGGCTTTCTCTCCTTTCCTTGCAGGGATGACAGTACAGGCTAAATGGCTTTTAGTCAGCACCATCACAGTACTGGCCAATCAGAAGCTGGCTAGCCTGTATGGTCATCCCTGCAAGGACAGGATAAAAAGCATCGTGATGGTACTGACCAATCAAAAGCTGTCTAGCTGTACGGTCATCCCCGAGAGGAGAGAAAACAGCAGCTTTCTATCCTTTCCTACAGCTGAGAATCCAGAGCATCTGCCTCCATCCTCCGCATAATAGCCGACACCAATATATCCATCCCTACACGGCCTTCTCTTCCACCCTCCTCTCACTCGCTCAGTATGGGATCAGAGCAGGGAGGTTTCCTGCACCACTCATGGTGGACAGGAATTGCATGGCTGTTCATATTTCATGCAATTTGTGTCCATACATATTGTATTGACGCAAATCCCACCGCAAAGTTTCGGTTTGGGCATCAGGAGAATGAGTACTTGTGCAAATACTCGGTAACGGCACCGGTGCTTCTCTAGTAGCAGTACCTTTTTCTGACAGGTACTCACTCCCCCAATTCTGGCCAAGGCAAGAGTTATGGAAGTTTATCCTGACCCCTTCCCTACCTGCTACCTTCTGAGACACTTCACAGGTCTCAGGGGGGGGGATGCGGGACCAATCTAGCAGGGCAGTACGATCTTGCGCATACGCAGTGGGCAGCTGGCTAGAAATAGTAGCAAGTCACAGCTGGCTCCCATAGCCAAGACTGGCAAACAGCCAACCCAGGTAGAGCCAGCACTGGACTCCTGGGCTGGTAAGTGTCTGTTTATTAAAAGTCAGCAGCTCCACGATTTGTAGCTGATTACTTTTTTTTTTTTTACTACTGTAGTTCCTCTTTAAGCACTCCCTTCATTACATGAATTATTGAAAACACAACTGTATGTACGGAATGCTGGTAGGCATTTGACTTGTTTATGGGCGGCTGTAGGTCAAAGAGCAGGTAGCATAAAAGTACCTTTTGGTAAGTGTCCCTAAGCCTGGGGGGGTGGGGGCAGGGTGTTACAATGACGTAAAAAGATGAACTGTTCTGTACTAAAATAGTTGTAGATGGCCACATCTGCAGTCCCCGCTGTGGTACCCATTACCTTGTGAACCTCCAAAGTTCTTGTTCACAATTGTTGCACAGAGGGCAGCATCTGATCCCGGGACTAAATTGTTTGTACAGAACTAGCTGTTCTACTTCTACATAAAGGATGTTTGTTTGTGAGGCTCAGGCTAAATCCTGCCCCTGCTACAGTGCAAACAATACATTACCACCGAGACTGGTGAAGTTATTGAGTGCTGGTATAACTTGCGTCAGGCTTGTTTGGACTTGTGGGTCGATGTGTAATTTCCACATCAATAACCTGCTGCCGAAGAGACTTTATCCTGATGTGCAGTTATATCCATATCACAGACATTCACTGAATCTCTTCCTCACGCCTCTCTTAGATCGGCCATGTTACCGAGTGACCCGATCACCAGATAATGAATCGCTGTTTACGGTTAATGGATCCTTTTGTGCTCCATAATAGAGTCGTGTAGCTTAACCGGCTCAGTTTATTGGCCTCTTACATGAAGGTCATCAAGTATCCATGAAGGTCGGCGTAGATTGTGTTCTGGAGATGAAAGGAGCCCATTATACAACCATCGGTAAAACAGACATAGCACAATCCAGGCTGTCTATTACAGAGTTGGAACTACATAGGACAGGGAGGGGTTGTGCAGCTGGAGAGTTCAAGTCCACGATCTAAGCATGGAAATTTTGTGTTCCTTCTCTAGGTAAAAGCCACACTGGATGAAATTTTGGAGAGGCTCCCAGAAGAGTTCAATATCTCTGAACTTATGGCTAAGGCAGAGGAGAGGACGCCATACATTGTAGTGGCTTTCCAAGAGTGCGAACGGATGAACATGCTGACCAGTGAGATCAAAAGGTCACTCAAAGAGCTCAACCTGGGACTGAAGGTAACAAAGTTTATATCTACTGTATGTCCACAGTCTGAAGTTGCTCAGCTTGACAACCCAGGGTACCTCCAAAGGGTTGGGAGGGAATTACTTAGAGCCAATCTCCATGCAAAAATCAAAGACTGAGTTCACCTTTTTGTTTTCTAAATTCCACCTCTCCTATACTGTATACCAGGGGTGGACTGACCATTTGAGCACCTGGGCACTGCACGAGGGCCCAGGGTCAGTAGGGGGCCCCATGAAATGCCCCTGTTACCTTTCATTTGCTTTTTTGGGTGTGGACGAGGACACAGGGGCCACATGAGCCCCTATTGCCCGGGGGCCCCATGAGTTGTCAGTCCACCCCTGCTGTATACCAATATACCATTAATGTAAACAAAACAGGTGAAAAAGAGGACCTCTTTCTCAACGTGACAGACAAATGCACAGCACACCTAGAACTATTTTATATACACCTTCCAAGTGAACAAACTCACACACCTGTATCCATGTTAATGCAAGACCAGATTTGCATTCGTTATTAGCCCTGGAACTTGGACAAAGTAATATATTCCATATGCAAAATCACCCCTCTTGGTAACATCATCATGGTGCCAGTAGCTTTTTTAAGACCCTATGAGTGGGGATCCCGCCCTTAAACCCAATGTGAAGTGTCCACATGACCAAACAACGACATCCAAAGCAGGACTCTCTTAATCTTCAGTAAGGAAGAGAGAAGTCTCAGGACCCTGTGTATCATGTGACCACAAATTAGGGTAAATATTGCTTAGTTTTTGAAAAAGTTTATGGGGGGGGGGGGGTCATAGCCAGAGAAGCCGCTTTAAAGGCCAAATGGCATGCAGGCAGCTAGATATACAGATAATATACATATACAGAAGCTGTTTTCCTCCTAGTGGATTTGAATTTTCTCTCAAATCCTGGGATTTACACAACTCTGCCTGGCAAGCAGTGTTATCCCCAACCAAGCCAAGCCTGCTGAATGGACAGAACAGCCTCAGATTAATGAGGTCATCTCCCTCCCTTCTCCTGTTGTCAATGCATTTACATTCAGTAAAACCATTAGCTCCAGTCCTTGCCCTCTCTTATAGTCTGAGTTTTGCTTTATAGGGACTACAAGAGGCTGATACCAAGTCAAATTCAGTTACTTACAATAAAAAAAATCATGTAATATTGATAACTTAGCTGCATTACTTTGTGTCTTTTATATCTGCCCCGAATAACACGGATATATCTCTAAACCTTTTTCTTCCTTGTATTCCAGGGTGAGCTGACCATGACCAGCGACATGGAGAATTTACAAAATGCCATTTACCTTGACCAAGTGCCCGATTCCTGGACCAAGAGAGCCTACCCCTCCATGGCCGGCCTGGCAGGCTGGTTTGTGGACCTCCTCAGTCGTATCAAGGAATTGGAGACCTGGACTGGCGATTTCGCTCTGCCGTCCGCAGTGTGGTTGGTCGGATTCTTCAACCCACAGTCCTTCCTGACCGCCATCATGCAGTCCATGGCTCGAAAGAACGAGTGGCCGCTGGATAAGATGACGCTGCAGTGCGACGTGACCAAGAAGAACCGAGAGGACTTTAGCAGCCCACCACGAGAGGGAGCTTACGTTCACGGACTGTTCATGGAGGGAGCGCGCTGGGACACACAGGTATTAAATGTTTCCCACCCCCCTGTGTTTATCAGGGTTCAAGTCGTTTACAGAGCATATACATGAGAGCCATGGATAAACAGGAAGAGTTCTGTGCATTAAGCCCACCCCAACTGCAATCTCTAGATTAGCATTTCTCAATAGTTTGTTTTTTTGGTCACAACCCCCCGTTTAAAGTATACAGAATTTTGTAACACCCCAGTCTAAAATGTAGAAAACAATGGTTACTCATCAATGGAAAACCTGAGCCTGGGACAATGCACATAACCACCTTGATGAAATTCACTTCACATTAAAAGCCCCTCTTCACTTCAGAGCCGGGGGGGCCATTATAACAAATGTACGCCTACATCAATGTCCCCTTTCACATCAGAAGCCCTCCTTCACATCAGAATTTACCCATTACATCAGTCACCCCTATACATCAGAGGCTACCCATCATATTAGTCACCCCTATACATCAGAGGTCTTCTATACAAAGTTACCTCTATATGTTGGAGGCTCCCCATGTTATCAGTCACCCCATCCCACCATTCTCCCCCCCATTACATCAGTTACCTCTACACATCAGAAGCTCCCCATCACATCATTCTCCCCATTACATCAAAGTTACCTCTACACATCAAAGGCTCCCCATCATATCAGCCACCCTTATACATCAAAGACCCTGTATACATGACTTTCCTCATCACCATAGAGTCCCTCCAATCACATCAGATTTCCCGCAGTCACAGCCCCCCAATCACACAATCCCCGCATCAGAGAGCCCACTAATCACACAGTTCCCTCTTACATCAGAACCCTGCCTCGTGGTTCTAGCAAAGTAACAAAAGGTGGAGGTGGACTTCATCTTCTTCTAAATGTTGGGGCTGCCCCTGCATGCAACCCACCCTGGATTAGAATCATGCAATGCTATGATGTGGGTGCACTGTGCGTCTTAGCCCTAGAACGTCATTGGTTGTTAGGGTGCTGGCAGCCGGCCACCCACTCCATGGCAACTCATGACGCTGATCCAGGGCAAACTGGATCCTGTGCTTGCGGCACCCGGCTGAGAAACACTGCTCAAGACTAACATTCATAAAGCTTGTTGTTACCTGGGGACGCTCTAACAGGGTGGCTTTCTTGTGTGCCCCACAGTAAACATTTCTGCCCATTGCCTTGGCACCTGTCTCACATGACCATTTCTGAGCACTCTTGGATCAGCCTTTTCATAAGATAAAGATGAAAAGACAGTTTTTGTCTTGTCTTATTCTTGCTATATATGGCGGCACTATTAAATGTAGTAAAACTTAGACTTTAATTCCCTTTTAAAGCATGTTGAAATCACGCACACAACATGTACATGAATGTTCCTGCACATGCACAAGTATGAAGGAGGGCCGAGACCAAAGATTGTCACACGTCTGTCCGCCCGTACAACACTTTCCTCCCTCCCTCTCCCCAACCGCTGCTCCTCACATAAGCCTCATAACAATATTAGAGAGCTGATCAAAGTGGGTCATCTGGCACATGATCTGAACATTACCTCCTCCTTCGAGATGCAATTTTATACTAGAAAGAGTGAGAGAGAGGCGGCCGCGCTCTAATTAACAAAGGACGAGCTTCAAGGTTGAGTGGCAGAATGACATCCACCTCAAAGACAATAGACTTGTCAGCCGCTCCCAGCCTGGGATAAAGAGCAATATGGAAGGATTTAGCTGCTCTTTGATATCACAAGGCAAGTGCAGATTTAAATATGTACCCAATTACCACATTTTTTTCATCATTTCGATCATCCAAGTTACATTCCATCTTAAAAAAAAAAAAAAAAAAAAAAAGAAGTTCTAACTTTTTCTGTTGACCTAGACATGTCTGGAACACTAGCTGTAAGGCAGTCTGTAATCGACTTGGGACTTAAAGTGGAAGTATAAAAGAAAAAAAAATTTGCAGCCTAACTAGGCACATCCCAGCCCATCCCTCAAAAAAACTTGCAAAATTCAATACCTGGAAGATGACAAGCCAAACATCGGTACCAGGAAGACAACTGGCTGAAGATTTGTACCTGGAAGATGACTGCCTAAAGATTGCTACCAAAAGAAGAACAGGAAGATGACTGACCAAAGATTGATACCTGGAAGACCGGCCAAAGATCAGTACCGGAAGAGGACCAGCCAAAGAATGGTATCGGAAGAAGGCCAGGAAGATGACTGGCCAAAGATAGGTACCTAAAAGATCACCGGCTAAAGATCAGTACCAGAAGAAGACCAGGAAGATGACTGGCCAAAGATTGGTACCTGGAAGAAGACCTGGCATAAATTAGTACCAGAGGAAGGACCAGCAAGACAATCGGCCAAAGATTGGTACCTGAAAGATGACTGGCCAAAGATCAGTACCAGAAGAACTCCAGGAAGACAACTGGCCAAAGATAGGTGTCTGGAAGACGAATGGCCAAAGATCAGTCCCTGGAAGACAACCAGCCAAAGTTTGGCTGGTTGTCTTCCTGGTCTTCATATGGCACCAAAGATTGGTGCTTGGAAGGTTATCGGTACCAGAATAAAACTATCCAAAGATGTCAGCAGCTTGTGAGGTAGCTGAGAACACTGCAGCATAGTATAGTTTTGCTTTAAAATGGAGTAGGTACTAACCTCTTCCAGGCATTTTCTGAGCTTTCTGATCATATGATCACTGTGAATGGCTATAAACTATACATTATAGTTCAAATGAGCCCTTTTAATTTTGAATAGAGCAGTGGGTTGGTTTATTTTTTTTTTTTTTTACTGTTCCATTGGGAAGATTACTTTTCACTTCTTGTCCTGGACATGCAACAGGAAGTGAGAATAAATTAAATCCAAAATGAAGGAAATCCCCTCTTAGATAGCCATCTTCTGAACAATGGGACAATTTTCCCTCATCTTTTGTTCTAAAGCAGAGGTCTCCAAATTTTCAGTATAAGAACTGCATTGTATATTTTACAAATATCTGTGGGATGAAAAAAATCCCATCAGATTCCCCCCCTTACATCAGAGTATCCGTTAAATTACCCCCTTAAGTTGGGGTCCACATCTGAGTCCCTCCTTATGTTGGGGTCTACATCTGCGACCCCCCCCTTACATCAGGGTCCACATCTGAGTCCACACTTATGTCGGGGTCCACATCTGAGTCCTCCCTTACATCAGGGTCCTAATCTGAGTCCACACTTATGTCGGGGTCCACATCTGAGTCCTCCCTTACATTAGGGTCCTCATCTGAGTCCACACTTATGTCGGGGTCTCTCATCTGCGCCCACATCTCAGCCCTCCCTTACATCAAGGTCCACATCTCAGTCCTCCCTTACATCAGGTCCACTTTACATCAGGGACTCCATCAGAGTACCCCCTTACATCAGAGTCCACACCTGAGTTCCCCCCTCCCCCACATCAGAGTCCCTCTTTAGATCAGAAGCGGAGACCATAGGCAGCCCCTGCTGACCTTAATTATCAAACTGCGCACATTAAAGGTCCGCCACATCAAATCTTGTAGTGGGTCAGTTGTAGCCCATAGCTTGGAGGCCTCTGTTCTAAAGTTTACATTTTCCATCTCTTTCTGTATCAGTGACCATGGTGGCCAGGACACAGAGAAGGAAAACCTCCCCAGCTGTGAAGACCGCAATAAAAACATGAAAGAGAGCCTAAAAAGCGCTAAACCACAACTGAGTCCAAAGAAATGCAAATCATTCATCAAATAATTGAAATATCAGCTAATGCGTTTTAGGGGTCCAAACACTCTCCCTTCATCAGGGCTTGGATAAGGTTTTTGCTGGTAGATCTATTTTGGACAATGTAACACTTATAGAAACTTCCTATAAATCCAGTTTGCCAATAGTGTTATTTAAGTCCTTACAAGAATATATGTAGCACTACCCCCTTAGGAGTCGCTTGAGATTTGGGTCCCCCTCTAGTCCTGCACAGTGAGGCAACACACATTTCATTCAGACCTTGCACACAGGAGACCGTAAACAGTCCTTGAGCTTGTTTTTTTTTTATTTTATGAAGGGGTATTGAACTTGGATGTGGTAGAGGGGTGTAAGGGATGCCCAGGACTACTGTCAACTGAGGACAAACACCTTAATAACTATGTACAAGTCTATTAGACAAAACTCCTCTTATTGGAGAGCTATCCAACCTCACCTGGTGCACCTCCTCAGACCCTCCTCTTCACGCAGCTGTCTGATGGAATCCTTAGGCAAGGTGGCCCAGAATCTGCCACTCTAGAATCAGCAGTCCCAGATGGGGGCTAGTCAGGTTTCCCACTAGAATGCCCTCTCCCCTTAGATGTCCAGGTTGGGTGGAATTACTCACTCAGTCCTCCCCTGCAAGCTTGTGGGATGGTGGCTGCCTTCAGGCCTTATGCTGGTCTTGCTCCTTCCCTGCTTCCCAGGTTGTCCTCTTTCAGGGGATGATTGAGGATGAGAGATCCTCCCTTCCAGCTCTCCTCCTCCTGTATGTAGGCCCCTCTCCTGGACCCCCTTCCTGGCTCTTCACTCCATCTTCCACCCAAAGTCTTCTGCTGCTGAACAAGTTCAATTACTCTTAAGTGCTGGCCTGACCCCATACCAAGCCTTCTGCTTGGGGATTGGCCAGGATCCCCTAAGAGTGCAGACCAGCTCCTCCTCACCCCCACCCATTGAGTTCTAGAGACTTCTTCAAGTCTCTAGATCGGGGGGGAGGTATCAGTGAGCTGATCTGCAAAGCCTCTCAGCCCAGACCCAAGCTTGACCCTCTGACTATGTGTCCTTGGCTGCTACTCAGCCTTCTAACTACAAAAAATCTAGCTCCCCCTAGCTAACTAGGAGGGTGCTACACATATATACAAAGTCTAAGCCCTGGTGAAGCAGGACTGTTCATCGCCACAAAACGTACTGGAGGTTTTTAAAATTATTTAATCAATGATAAAGTTTCCTTAGACTTTTTTTGTGTTTTGGTGCTCTTCATGCAGTCTTTTGGGATTCTAAATCTGAGTACCCCAGTTATAGCGACCCTGTCTGACAAAAGCCCTTGAGCCATAAAAATTGGTTTAATATTTTGCAATATTGCATTCTGAACTTATCAATAAAACCTGAAAGGGACTTTCATCATACCTATGTTGCCTAACACACACACAAAACAAATTTGCTTGCCATTTGAATTGTCAGTGACCTTTCCCATATTTCAGGTTCTCTTTACTTTGCAAATCAGCTGCACAGGGTAACTTTAAAGAAACTTTCCTCACTTCCTGTGCAGCTTTAGCCTGACCCCTATGTGTGTATATAATATTAATATAGAACCGCACTGGATACTCCGATTAATTGTCCCGTTCAATTTATAACATGAGAACAGACACAGAGAGGCCCTCCAGTAAACACATTAATAAGCTCCCTCTGTCCTCCATTTATCATTAAAATCCGCCCTGTAATCTCCCCTCATGCTATTCATCTCAATATTATCACCTCGTTTATCTGGCAATACGACGCAGCTTCTGGATGCCGGAGCAGAATGCAGAACGTGGAATTCTCGGGATGTTGTTTCCATGGTAATTTATAATCAGATGTGATGTCATTGCCGTTCAGAAAGCATCGGCTACAGCTGAGGAATTCTTACTTATTAATACAAAGAAAAGAGGCTTATTTAAAGAGGAAATGTCAACGTGGTGGAGGATACAGACCATATGGCGAAATTCTTTTTATGGGCACCTGACAATCAGACCTGCTATATGACCAAAAGTATGGGGACCCTTCTCCAAATGCTGGAGTTCCGATGGCTCCAGGGATTGGCACTAGTAGTTAATACTATAGGTTACAAAGACAACTGTGGTCTTCTGACCTTTTGGTAACAGTTTTTAGGGGAAGTCCCTTTTCTGTTTCAGCATGACTGTACTCCTGTTCACCAAGTAATCTCCATAAAGTTGTGCTTTGACCAGCTTGGTGTGGAGGAACTTGAGTGGCCGACATAGTGTCCAGACCTCAACCCTACTGAATAGCTTTGTGGTGAATTAGAAAAGGGAGCCAGGTTTTCTCAACCAGTACCTAACCTCACAAATGGGCACAAATTCCCACAGATGCACTCCAAAATCTTGTGGAAAGCCTTCCCAGGAGAGTGGAGGATATTATAGACACAAGGAGGGGCCATGCCATATTAATGGCCATTGTTTTGGAATGGGATGTCTAACAAGGTTATAGGTGTGATGGTCAGGTATCCACACACTTTCCCTATATAGTGTAATCAGTACCCAACCTAAACCCTAAGTCCAATGCTCTTCTCGAAACTTCCAACTCAAATCCCAACAGGAAACATAATGTCATGTCCATCTTGTAAGCTGCCATGAGTATGTAAAACAGGGGAGCTGTACAGATGATGTTGGTAATGATGTTCTCTTATCACTTTGTAGACTGGAATTATCACAGATGCTAGACTGAAGGATCTGACCCCCGCCATGCCTGTCATCTTCATCAAGGCCATTCCAGTGGACAAACAAGACACCCGCAATGTCTACGCTTGTCCCGTATATAAAACCCGCCAGAGGGGGCCAACCTACGTCTGGACATTTAACTTGAAGACCAAAGAGAACTCATCTAAGTGGGTGCTGGCTGGGGTGGCCTTGCTTCTACAGATTTAAACTATTGGAGCAAATTGTGTTCCCCATGACCACACCCTCAATCCACCCCAGGACTAATACTACCAGAAGACACTTTATAACATCTATTGCACTAAGACAATCTGTAACTTCCAGTATTATTATTGGACAGAAGATGCACTGTTGCTCTTTTTTCTTGTTTTATTTATTTTAACAGTTTCAATTAAAAGTTCTCTATTCTCTAATGCTGTCATCATAGTTCTCTCTCGGCAGGAAAATTCCAGGAGTTGTGTTGTAGAAGGAACGGGGCTTGTGGGAACCCCCCCCCCCCCCACTATATTGTATTTCATAAATCTGTCCCTTACAATCCAATTCTACAATCTCCATCAACTTCAGGTTTACAAAACTATGTATTATAAAGTGATTGGATAGATTAGGTAGATCCTCACATCTAACTGGATCTTCTTTAGATCGACCAATAAGTATGTGGTACAAGGGTCTCCTTGGTTGGATACAAATTGGATAGATTAGGTGGATCCTCACATTACATGGTTTTGGTAAATCTAAAGTTGATTGTAACTTGTACAGTGACATATAGTTCTCCTAATATCTACCAAAATTGTGCAAGAGCTTTCCTAACCGGATGCAAATTGGATGGATGGTTTAGGTAGGCTTTCACATTACATAGTTGTGACTACAATCAGATTGTAATGTATATGGCCAGCTTTTCAAATATTGGAAGCAACTCTACCCACAACCAAACATGCCATTGATCACCAACATTTATAGGGGCACACCCCTGTTACCATCATCATTTAGAGGGGTACACACTGTTGACGACCAACTTTTAAGGGTGCACACTGCTGACCACCAATATTTAGTGGGCACACACCGCTGACTACCAACATATAGTGGGCACACACCACTGACCACCACCATTTAAAGGGGCACACACCACTGACCACCAACATTTAAAGGGGAACACGCCACTGACCAACATTTAGTGGGCACACACGCTGACCACCAATATTAAGTGGGCACACACCACTGACCATCAACATTTAGTGGGCACACACCACTGACCACCAACATTTAAAGGTGCACACACCACTGACCACCAACATTTAAAGGGGCACACGCCGTTGACCACCAACATTTAGTGAGCACACATCGCTGACCACCATTTAAGGGGGCACACACCGCTGACCACCAACATTTAGTGAGCACACATCGCTGACCACCATTTAAGGGGCTCTCACCACTGACCACCAGTTTTTAAAGTGGTACATGCCACTGACTACCAATATTTAAAAGGGCAAACGCAGCTGACCACCAACATTTAAGGGGCACACAATGCTGCCGGCCAGCATTTAAAGGTGCACTAACCACCAGCATTTAAAGGTGCACTAACCACCTACATAGTCCTGCCCTCTACCCTTTGCACACCGTGTACTGATAATATCACGGCATCCTGCCTCAGTACTCCTTTCAGCCCCAATGCAAGCAGTGGGAGGACTTATGCAAATATCACAATGCCTTAGGCTAGGTTCACATATGTGCGGGTGGTGCGGCTGCGGATCCGCATGAAAATCCGTGCAGCCGCACCACCCGCACACAGGAATGCGGACCCGTGGGGGGTTGCCATTATTTCTAATGGCACGCCGCCCGCACTAGAAAACGCAACCGTACTGGGAACCGAGGTTCCCGTGCGGGCTGCGTTTTCCAAAGAAGTGCAGGGACTTCTTCCCTGCATGTCATGGCACACGGGAGTCCATTCAAATGAATGGGCTCTCATGCCTGCGCAAAATGTGTCCCACACGGCCGCATATATGTGAACCAGGGGTAAATGGATGGATGTCGGTCTGGAGGAGTGGGTGTTCCTGGCAGACAACACTTGCATGTAGACTGCCTTAGGTAATAAATTAATGAAAAGCATGGGTCAGGGACATGCAGGCTGAGGAGGAAAAAGCTAGAGGACTCTAGACGCCCTCCAGCCAGGAAATAGGGTAAGCTCTATATGATTTGCTGCAAGTTCTAATGCACATGGTGAGAAGCTCACAGTGTGCAGTGAAATCAGAGTAAGCCATTTCAGTCCAGGAGAGGAGCCGGTACAACTGTACAAGACTAGAGGAAAGGTGGAGGTCAGCTCAAGCTAGGGAAGGCATTGGGTGGGGAAAGGGTAAAGACGCTATCTCTTTTCAAGGGTATCAAGACCTGGGCTACCTTGTACTCACACATAATACATTACTTAAAAGATTACTGATTGTATATGGTGGTTGGAAAAGTTGCATATTTTATTCCAATTTCTAGTAAAACAGCAATACTGGATTTCTCCTTTAAACATTTCAGAAATCCCCTAATCAGCACTTTTTTCATAACATTAATTTCTGTCCCCCCATAACATTTCACACTTGGCTACGACCGAGCCCAACGCCGCACACTAATGTTCCACTTTTAGCTGGAGAAAAAAAATACAATAAAAAGTCGTCCTGACATTTTTGGAACATTAATATCATGCAATAAATGTCACTTAACTCTCACCTCTATTATCCGGAGCCATTATTCAGCATATTCCGCGGTCGTACACGAGGGCGGTGAGTCAGGCGTTCCGTGAAATGCACCGGCTTTCAGGATAATCCAATTGACATTTGAAGTCCGGAACATGGAGTTCACCTAAAATTGTAGAAATAAAAAATAAATAAAAAAAAACAGTCCCAGTGGAAGGCAGAGGAAGAGGAAAAAAACAACAAGATTGTCTCTGGACAGGAGACGCTAAAACCAAACTCCTGATGTGACGCCGCTTAAAGGGAAAGTGTACTGATATTCTGCCTTCACGCGTTCAGAGATATTATATTTACCTGAAAGCCATTACTAGGTACTAATTCTTACAGGAAGATATATGATATGGCTACCGGCCAAAAGATGAAAATAAATAAAAAAAAAATTGGAAGGTGGCTGTCACATGATTTCTGCTGTTCCATATTTTTATTACTGTATATCATAGCTCCTTAACCCCCTTACTAATATCTTGTCTGAGAAAAACGACTGGTTGGCAGATGTGTTTTTATGGAACGCCATCTAAACACCACCAATGACCACCAACAATAAAGGGGGACTACACCATTGACCACCTATATTTAGGGGCACACACCAATGACCACCATTTAGTGGGAACACACTGCTGATCACCAACATTCAAAAAGGGACATCACTAACCACCAACATTTAAAGGGGCACACACCACTGGCCAACAACATTTAGGGAGGAACACACACCACTAGCCAACAACATTTGGGGGAAACACACCAATGATCACCAACATTTAAGGGCACACACTGCTGACTACAAACTACTGACCACCGTAGGGGGCACACACTACTGAAGGCCAGTATTTTAAGCAACACACACCATTGATCACCAACATTTAAAAGGGCACAAACCTCTGATCACCAAAATTTAAGGGGGCACACACTACTGATCACCAACATTTAAGGGGGTGAACACCACTGACCACCAACAATAAGGGGGGCACACATCACTGTCCAAAAACATTTAAAGGTACACACCACTGACCACCAAAATTTAAGGGGCACACACCATCAACAAGTAAGGAGAGCACACTATTGACCACCACAAATTAAGGGGGATACACCGCTGACCACCAACATTTAGGGGGCACACACCAATGACCACCATTTAGTGTGAACACACTGCTGATCACCACAATTTAAAGGGGACACACACCATTGAGCACCAACATTTAACGGGGCACACATCATTGACCACCAACAATTAAAGGGGGTCACACATTACTGACCACTAACATTTAAGGAATTACACATCACTGACCAGCAACATTTAAGGAATTGCACAGCACTGACCACCAACATTTAAGGAAGCACTCACCAGTGACCAACAACATTTGGGGGAAAAACACCAATGATCATCAACATTTAGGGGGAATTCACCCCTGATAACCTACATTTAACAGCACACTCCATTGACCACCAACTTTTAGGTGGCACAAACTACTGACCATCAACATTTAAAGGGGCACACACTACTAAAGGCCAATATTTAAGCGGCACACACCATTGATCACCAACTATTAAAGGGGGACACACCACTGACCACCAGCATTTTAAGGGGGCACACACCACTGATCACCAACATTTAAGGAGGTACTCACCATTGACACACACCGCCACACACCACTTATCACCAATATTTAAAGGGGCACAAACCTATGACCACCAACAATTAAGGAGGACACACCACTGACCACCAACATTTAAGGGGACACAAACATCTGACCACCAACATTTAAGGGGACACAAACCTCTGACCACCAACAATTAAGGAGGGCACACCACCGACAACAACATTTAAGGGGGCACACACCATTAACCATCAAAATTTAAAGGGGCACACACTGATAAAGACCAATATTGATAGGAAAGCATACCGCTGCTTACCACCACAGGGGAACACACCACTGACCACTAACATTTAGGGGGCACACACTATTGACCAACATTTGGGGGAAACACAAATGATCACCAACTTTTAGAAGGCACGCACTACCCAACACCACCATCATCATAAAGAGGCACAAAATCACAATCAGTAAAATCTGCAAACTGTTCTGTGCATCACATAGTCATGACCCCTGCACTCTGCTACATTTTTTATATTATTCCTAACCCAAACATTTTAGGGCCTCAAGAAATACAATAGGTAGTCAAAAAAATAGTTTTTTGCTCAATTTTTTTCCTTTATATAGTAAAATATTAAAAGCCAAGTGATTTTTAAAAATCACCAAAACAAAACTGTAGCCATCACAAAAAAATTATACAACATTCATTTGGGTACAGTGGTTAATGACAGAGTAACTGTCAGTCAAAGTATCAGACCTCTGAGAACTGTACAATGGCTTGGTAATGAAGAGGTAGATACTGCCTAGTAATGAAGTGGTTAAAGAGGTCATCTTTATATTGGGGATGATGAACAGTAGCCCTGCTTAAAGTGGGACTCCAGATAAG